TAGCTAAACATAATTCACAGAAGCCACAATGAGACCGGTGAGAGGGCAGAAATGCGGAATGGGCAGGCCTGCACCCACAATGCGATGATTAAGAATCAGAAGGGCCCTGACCGGTTCGGCTCAGTGGCTAGAGTGTCGGCCTGTGGACTAAAAATATGTTACTTGGCTACAGTAAAAGAAAACACAATATTTAATTCATAAGTACCACTCTGACAGACTAGCATCACATATCCAAATCATATTTAGCAACGGCTATTGTTTAGAAGTACTTACAGGGGTAGGCAAAAGTAGGGTTACAGTTGTTCACATGGAAAATAATACAATAATTAGTAAGTAATAGTACAAGAATAAACACTGTTTTGTGTACTCACAACTGTATACCTACTTGTGCCCGCCCGTGTGTAAGGCATTTAAACTTACACAGGTAGCCCAAAATAGAAAAATTAATATCACAGGTCTTTAAAATGCCAGCTGAGGAAGCTGGGACTTCTCTGTCAGCAAAGAAAGCTTGGGCAGAGCTGCCTCCAAATATCTGAAGAGCTGTTAAGTGGAAGATGGATTCACCGTATGGCCCCATGAATAAATCCAGGGCTAGAGGGTGGAAATGGCCAAAAGATTTGCTTTAGTGTAACCTAAATATACTAATAGTGGGATTCAAAGAATGCGAGTCCAAGAGTTCCCTATCCCAGGAAGTATTCAAGACAGAACTGGACATCCACTTGGTGGAAATGTTGCAAATATGAGACCAGTATTCCATGGGGATCGAAGTAGGTGCCCTTAAGGTCCCTTCCAACGTTGAGATCCTCAGACTGGGTCTCTACCCAGTAATGCTGCAGGATATCCTGTGCACAACTTCTCATGGGGACTTGTTGGATGTCAATTTCTCTAGGCCTCTGTCACCTTCTTCAAAAACATTCCCCCTTGCCCTAGCTGGTTTGGCTCAATGGATAGAGGGTCGGCCTGAGGACTGAGGGGTCCCAGGTTCGATTCCAGTCAAGGGCATGTGCCTTGGTTGCGGGCACATCCCCAGTAGGGGGTGTGCAAGAGGCAGCTGATCGATATTTCTCACTCATCCATGTTTCTAACTCTCTATCCCTCTCCCTTCCTCTCTGTAAAAAAATCAATAAAATATATTTTTAAAAAAACACACACATTCCCCCTCTATGCTTGAAGGCATACCAAGTTAACTGGAAGCTGATAACGAGCACTGAAGTATTTTTCCCATGTGACTCTGCACAGATAGTGGAGGGGTGTTCATCCTATTCCACAAATTTATAGAAGGTATTGATCAAATTTCTAAAGACCATGAAAAGAAATGGTTATTGAGGAGGAAATTAATATTTTGCTATTGTTGAAAAAGCTAGACTTTCAATACAATGATGGGCTGTATATTCACACACAGACCTCATGAGCTAACACGTATGAGAGGGCCAAGTAAAGGCACTGAGAGGGAAGAGACATCAGCCCAGGGCAGCTGAAAGAGGAGCTTCTAAGAAGCCTGCCAGAAAAGGTCCACATACAAATTAGCAGTTGGATTGGAACAAGCAACAGTGAGACTGGAACCTAGCACCAAGAATACAGATGGAAAGCTGTGCATGTGTGTGCGGTGGGTGTGGAGAAAAAGATGTGCCAATGCTAATTCAAGTTCCAGTGCAGGAATATGCTGGGTCTGCAAGCGCAGCTGCTAGCCCCACACAAGGCTCTCTATCACCTGACTCTGAGAAACAGCAGGTTACATTTATGGTGCTATAGAAGCTGGCTAGGACTGTGTAGTAAAAATATCAGATTGCTTATTTACTGTTCATTAAAAAGAAAAAGAAAAACAATAATGCACCATTGGTTTAATCAGTAATAGTAACTAAGCAAAATGTTGGGTTGTAGAACATAAAAAAGAGTGCCAATTCTATACAGGAGGTACAGGAATCAGGTCTGATGCTCAGAGGATGACCAAAGAGCCTGGGCCTAAGGGGACTGAACCTCCAAGATCCATAAGCCCTCACTCCAGAAACTTCTATGTCCCTCCCTCAGTGCCTTTGGTCTAGTTCTTAGGATTCCAACAGAAAGTGGTGAACACTGTTAGGCTTCACCTAAGAGGAGCTTTACTGGATAAAGTCCCCTCTCGGGCAAAGCCACCTGCAGCTGGTATTTTGCTAGACGTCACTAAGAAACTTGTATGCCTTCGTTTGCACCATATTTCTGATGTGAGACAGCAGACAGTGTAGCAGTGAAGCTAGAACAGTTGGAGAAGATGAAAGAAGGCTCAGTAGTATTAAAGCCTGATCTTTGAGCCACTGTAGTGATAGAGCAAACAATCTATAAACAGACACAAGAAAAGATCAGTCCACAACCTGGGGCAGGGGCAGTGCGGGATACGGAGAGGTGCAGGAGAAGGCAGACTCCAGTCCGCACCCATCAGAATTGCACTAATCCACCCTCAGGAAGGTATGGGAGTTAATACCCATACTTCCATATTTTCTTAAAAATTACTGCACAAATAGATCATTGTGCTTGGTTTCTAATGTAACGCTATGAATTATTTATTCCAAAGTGAAGATACAGCTATTCTACATGTATCTTTTTGAAGATAGTCCTTATTATGTTCCAACTTCAAAGAACACCTTCAGATATTGTTAAAGAGAGATATTGGAACCAGGTGGACTCCAACATGAAGGCATCAGACATTCAGCCACTGGGAAGACCAAGGATGCATATCATTTAAGGGCCCAACAAACTGCTATCTACATAAGTGCTCATTTCACTCAAGGAAACGCTTGCTTCATTCCTCATTCCTGGGCGTTTCAGATAGGTGGGCTAGCAGATAGCACCATGCATATTGACGAGGTGCTTCTGCCTGATGCGGAGTGATCTGGAAAGGCTTCACAAAGGAGCTGGGGTAAAGGGAACAGGCAGAAAAGAGTCCCATGCAAGAAGGTGAGCAAAGAGACAACGACAGGATTCCGCATGACTCGTCTGAGATGAGAGTGGGTACATCACAGGGCACAGAGTATGGGGGAGAGACTGAAAAGCTGTTCTGTCTCTCTTCCCTCATTGTGATGAGATGCAAAAATGGGAAAACTGCTCTTCTAGACCACGTAGGATGCTAGAAAGACAGAAGAAATGAAAATACAAAGGTTTGCTACAGGTTCCAAGGTTTGGATTACTGCAATTTTCCAATCATGGGGCAGTGGTGTCCAAATGCCAAGGAAATTCTAGCGTCTAGACTCTGGACCTAGCAGCTGTGACTGCCCTCAGAGTAAAGGCTGAGAGAGAGTAGAACCCAATTCCCAAAGTCACAGTCATCAGAGTCCTTCTGCTTCTCAGACAAGCCCGAGTAGCAGGAGGTGCAGAGACAGAGCAGTTAGCGGGCTGTGCCAGCCACAATCATTATGTGCACGGGACGTTCAGCACGTTAAAGCTACGAGTGTTTGAAACTGGAGTGACTATCAGCCAGACAGCACCAGAAGTGAGTGGGCTTCTTCCTGCAGGGCTCGGGTTCTTGACAAGCTCACTCACCCTGGGGATCTTCTGAGTGGATCTGGGGAATGAAATGTGTGACAAGTTCTAGATACATTTGCACTTTAGAGGATCAGAGATATTTCTTCACGACTGTCAACCAATTCTAAAATTTGAAGAGATGGGTTTTTCAATTATTAAATTACGTTGATCAATTTTCCACTTACCTTAAGGTCTCTATGAATTAACCCTTGTGAATGTATATAATCCACTCCTGTTACTATTTGCTTAAATGTTCCCAAAGACAAATCTTTGTTTGGAATCTCCCTTCTTCTGCTCTCAATCCAGTCTTCTAATGTCCCTTTATCACAGAATTCCATTTGGATGAAAAGGCACTTCGTCAATGATCTGGATATAAAATTCAAAGAGAAGTAACAATAAAAATAACTATAGAAAATACATTTCTTTCTCAAAATTATACCTTCTTTTCTTTTTTATCCTCACCTGATGATGTATCCTTATTGATATCAGAGAGAGAAGAAGGGAGAGAGAGAAAAACATTGACCACATGCACCAATGATTGAACCCACAACCTGCGTATGTGCCCTGACTTGAAATCGAACCAGCAATCTTTCGGTGTGTGGGATGATGCTCCAGCTAATTGAGCACAAAACACGTCTCAAAACAGAAATCTAAATAAATAAATTTGAATCACAATATAATAAACCATTTTTTATTTAAGCCTAAGTTCCCAGATGTCCAGAGCGTTATTTGTTTAACTAATTTATAAAGTATAAGCCTGTCCATCCTTTAATGCTGAAGGTCCTTGATCACCTTTCTAAAAAATAGGAAAGGGAACATTAATACAATAAAATTGCAGAAAACCAAATCTCATTATTATATAAAGTAATTTGTAGATATTGTAATTCACAATCAATATAATGAGCATCATTTTGTGAATAGGCACCTAGAGATGAGGAAATGAATTAGGCACTATCCTTACTGTCATGGGATGACAGTTGAATAGGAGAGAGGTAAAGGGAAAACAAACCTAAAACAATAGCACAAGGATAGGTACTCTAAAAGAAGTGCCAACAAACTGCTATGAGATATAACTGGGAGGACTGATTTTGCTGACCATGTTTTCTTTTTCAGCAATACGTGGGCCTCAATACTAACTTATATTCTTTGAACATACGCTGGCTAGAAGACAGAAAGAGGTAGACAAGAATTTGCTAAAAGCTGAAGTCCCAAGTGCTGCCAGGCAAGAACTCCTGAAACTGATGATAAAGTTCTCAGCACATTGACTGGGCTGGTGGCAGGAGATGATGAATAAACAAGCCCACAATGGCCTCGGGATTGCAGTGAGAGGACCATTCACAGGAAACACTGGGTGACTTCCAAAGAGGGATGCCAGCCCTAGCTGGCTTGGCTCAGTGGATAGAGCGTTCGCCTGCGGACTGAGGAGTCCCAGGTTCGATTCCAGGCAAGGGCACATGCCTGGGTTGCAGGCTAGATCCCCAGTGGGGGCGGGCGGGGGGGGGGGTAGTCCCCAG